CCCCAAAACCCCAAAACCCCAAAACCCCGAAGTTCTAATATGAGAGAAAAATCAGTTAAAATAATAAAATATAAATAAGGAAAATGGATTAAAAATCAGTTTAGTAGCGAAATTTAAGCAACAATAATTATCAATCAAGCAATAATTAATTCAATTCCTTTTAATAACAAAATTAGCAGTTTAATCCAATTTTCATACAATATCTACCCAAAATTTCTAGTAGTCTAAATACTATTCAGCAAAATCCTTCATTCTAGTTCTAAAATGTAAATGCAGAATCAGATTAATATCAGCAAAATAATTAATTCAACTATATTGCTAATCCACCACAAAGAAATATTACTCAAATATAGTAAAGTTCAAATCAATGTTCATAGTAAACTGTCGATCATAAAATCGATAAGAATCAAAGAAGTAAAGATAGCAAGTCATGTAATGGCCGTTCTTATTATTACTGACCAAAAATTAGCAACTATTAGTAATAATACTATGAAATAGATTAATTTGAGAATATGGCAGATAGATAAGAGTTTCTTGTGGTAATGATTGATGATAATATCAGTGAAATTCTGAATTAATAGAAAACAAGCCCTATTTCCTATCAAACTAATCCAGGTTAAAAATGCTTAGACAGTCTTTAAAAGTAAATACGAAATCCTCAAGATTATTCACAAAATGATATGACCTCATACTCGATTAATGCTTAATCCATCAATAATGAGAATTCAAAAATAACATTTGAACTAACTCCTTCTCAAATAGATGTGATTGAACTATTTAGGCTTCATTTCTGCATAGAAGATAGAAATACGTTAGGACTTTGTAAATTTATGATAGCTTTCTTTAAATTAGATGAATAAATTTTATCTTAAAGTTGGCCAATAGACGTTGCTAAATATATACATGAGTAATCACCATTATATCATGTTGATACTACTACATTTGCAATAGTTTATTTAGTGCTTGGTAAAAACAAAAGTATTAGTAAATTAGGTTGAGCTCTGCTGTGTGAAGTTTCTAGAAAATTCAATGTTAAAATTACTCACAGCAATGTAAATTACATTGAACCGAATATGTTCATTTATGATGAACATCGTTCCAAATAAACTGGAAACTTTTGGACTTAACAACTGATTAACTTATTTTTCTATGAAAACTGGTAGAGTTATGATGATATTTAAATAGATACCCTGATTGATGATATGAAGTAGTAGGAAAAAATAAAATCTACAATGGGCCAAGACATTGATATGAATCAACAATTTCCTGAAGAGTCTTTAAGTGATTTTCTAGATAGAATGTAAAAGGAAGTAACAGAAAGCTATGATGGAGTACCACTTTCAGTGAAAATATATTAGGCATGTAACTCAGAGCCTGAGTTCTAAAATTACATCATAGATCTACACTACTAGTATTATGATGATGCAGTATACTTCTTCTAAAAGTATTATAGATAAATACTCATGAAACTTCATAAGGAAGAACTTAAAAGTAATGATTTACAAGGTGGCTATGTAGTTAAGTTGATATGTGGATATGGAAATGGGAGAAAAAATTAGAATCATAATGGATTAAAGGAAAAATTTCTAGAATATCTAAGCATCAATTATTATGATTTTGTATACCTAGTAGATCATGGCACATTTTTAATAAGAGCTTAGCATTGGTTCGATAAATAATGTTGATAATTATTATTTGACAAGAAAGAATTTTAATTTAAGATGAATATTAAAATCCGATATTTAACTTTGGGGTTTTGGGGTTTTGGGGTTTTGGGG